CTCTATAGGTATCAGTACCAACCTAGCTTCTAGTTAAATGTTGTTCTATTAACTTTGCGTGTGTGCTGTTACTGATACTGATATTTATATTGATACCAAAACTAATACTAATACTGCTTATTAGACATTTGAGATACCCTAATCCTTATCATAACTACCTTAATTTGTGGGTAAATGTTATTTAATGACTTTGTCTGCATTGTAGAGTTATCATACCAATTACATTACCAATGTTCATACTGACACTAACACTGACATCAGAACCAAAACTAAAACCAAAACCGATACTGCATATTTAACATTTGAGATACTCTATATTATCAGAACCACCCTATAGTTTTGTTTGAATGTTATTCTATTGACTTTGTTTTTGTTGTAGACCGTTACCAGTACCAATATAGATAGTGATAATATTACTGATTCCAATCCCATTACAGCATGTTTGGCGTTTGAGATACTCCTCTCGGTATCAGAAACACCCTAGTTTGTGGTTAAATGTTGTTTTATTGATTTTGCTTGGGTTGTAGAGTAGAATAAGTTGACTTACTTCCCACAGCTCCGTTGTGCAGCGTCTTGGTGGAGAGACTATGGATTTCACCATAGTTTCCATACCGAGGGCTTGAACAGTATCTGTGTGAGACATGGACAAACATGATATGATCTCTTTATTCAAGAGCCGGGGACATTTTCATTATCATGCCTTTCCTTCAGTTAAAGCAAAGGAGCCTTAAATCTGCAGCACTGTCAAACAAGGACAGGAGACCCTGCAGTTTACTTCCTGTTCACCTCCAGTTATAACTGGCTCATGGTTAACTGTGTCCTGAAGGCTGGACACGTTATGTAAGGCTTGTTTTAAAGCCCAGCTATTGTTCCTGAGCGGGGCTGCCCTTCCTGTTCTGAACTCAGCACTCGAGTCAGATCGATTCGGCTTTCCACACACAGAAGAACATCTATTCTGTCCTTCTTCCCATGGCTCATGTTTGCGTGTTCATTCAGCAAGAAGACACAGACATGCAATGTGTAGAACGGCTCTTTCTTTGCATCATAATAAAAAAAAGTCCTACACCTGTTGCTCCAGTATGTCTCCTCTGTTTCAGACATCACTGCCTCTCTCTCAGAGTCCTGCTCCATTAGTGCCTGTGGTGAGTGAATGATGGAACCTCACAGATCGTCTTTTGATTTACAACCCTGCCTTTACGTAACTCCATGACAGCTGATACATTGTCCCCCCTAGTACTTTGTGGCGTATCTAATAGAATCTCTCAGAAAAAAAACAGAAAGCAACTTCTCACCAAGTCTCTGTGGAGTCATGAGGACGCGCCACTTACTGCTGTCCATAGGAAAATCATTATCAAAGCAAGACATAGAGAAAATCCCGTTTCAAGTGCCGCCGGTGAGTTTTCTTTGCTCTTTGCTCCTCTCTGTCTCGACCAAATGCCTCACAGGGACTCGAAGATGCCAAATTAAGAATGTTCACAATGAAGGAATCCAGTTTTTCTTCTCATGACCTCCTGAGGGAATGTAAACTCAATGGTTTGTCTGATAAGGAAGGGCACATTGCTTCCTTCTGCATGATAGCATCTGACGGAGTGACTTTCCTGACTGTGTTTGCATCGTGAAGAAACAGGGTGGCTGTTTTGATGGATTTATAGCTTTGTATCAAATCTACAGGGCTTCAGCCACTCTGAGAGCAAAAACAACTTCCCCCGAGGCCAACCTATACTGGATGGGGATAATCTCTCGATTCCGAGAACGTAAGCCCAAAAAAACATTCATAGATTGTAATTGCTTTGTAGCCCAGGGGATTGAAACCAAAGCTCATTAACACTGTTGAATTGTTTGATGACCTTCTTTAAAGATCAGAGCCCAACGTGCAAAGGGCAACAATTCACAGGGGACAATAAATCCAGGTTACCAACACCTTGAACTTTTGGGTGAAATGGGCCTCAGGTCACCCTTGTTTGCACAGCGTGAGGCCTCAGCTGACATGTCTGTCTGGCCTTTTGAAAAGAAGTGCTGCCCTCTGCTGAGGCTGAAGGTGCACTGCAACCTGCAACCTGCAACCTGCATCAAATCAGAAAAGTAAGCCTTTCAACTCCTTTTTTATTTATTAATAGACTTGGGAAATTGTCTACGGCAGCCTTTCCCAAACTTAAGACTGTCGCGGCCCATTTTGAAATACAAAATTACTCCGCGGCCCGTTATAAAATTAAAGTTATGACTACAGTTCCCATTTTCAGTAAGGGTAAAATATTTGACATGACAACATGATCTTATGAAGATAGACACAAAAGTTTACTAAACAGATATACAAACATCATATGATATTATGTCCATGAATAGTCATGACAAACCTTAATAATCACTCTGTCTGTTTGAGGGGTTGGCTCATGGTAAATCATTGGGATATTTATTTTATTTTTATACCTGGTGGAGGCCTCTTCGCGGCCCACCTGTAGAACCCACACGGCCCACCAGGGGGCTGCGAACCAAACTTTGAGAAGCACTGATCTACGGACAGATTTACTTTTTGTGCATGGATCACTGAATGGAAGTATACCCATGTTAAAATATACATCAATATGTATAATTATCTATAAAGATTGATGTCTTTTCTTCCATTGAAAAAAATAATAATCTGATATACTGTAATTCTAATAAAAAGAAAAATAACATGCATAAACATCCATAGCTAAAATCTACACTTATAAATGTAACTAATGCCCTTGTGTTTTCCTAGATCTCTCTCTTATCGCTCTCTCCAATCTCTCTCTCTCTCTCTCTCTCTCTCTCTCTCTTTCAATATTTATTTTTGTGTGTCTGTTGCTATTTAGGTCCTCCGGGAATGGGAGTGGGATTTCCTGCAACACATCTACGCCCAGGGAAACATGTTCTGCCAACTGTCTTTGTTGTGCCTGTCTAATTGAGCTCACACACACACACACACACACACACACACACACACACACACACACACACACACCTTTTCCTTCCTGTCCCCTGGCAGTGACAGACAAGTATTTATGTTTGACCCCACGGTCAGATGAGGACTGAAGCACAACGACGAGCAGACAACTCGAGAAAAGTTCATCAAAACAGATGGAGAGACTCATTCTGAAGCCGATAACACCTCTAGCGTGTTAGCATCTTCTACCACATGTTGGGCTGTCACATGGTCATGCTTTACAAATAAATTAACTTATAGAAGACTCACATGCAAAGAATCATTGAAAAAAAACAAACACTTTCTTCAGTATAAGATTTCAAACAATTGTTTATGTATAATTATTTTTATATAACAAAAAACTGCCCTTAATATCTTATAAGACACATGTATAGAAACTGGGCAGACAATTCTTTATTTTCTTGAAAACACCATATATAAGAGTCAAGATACAGTAAATCATTTTACTACAATATTGAAAATATCATCATTAATTTAGAAATCATTTAAATTATTCTGAAATTAGATCAGTAAGTTACCTTTTGCTCCTGTAAGATTTTTCAGGCCGTTATCTTTCACTCTTTTCTGGTCCTCTGCGTTCCCTCCTCCTCTATTTCTTTCATGAGTCCGAGGATATATTTCTCAGTCATTTCAGTTTATGTGAGATGTGGGGAGTGTTGCTGGAAACAGCTTCCTGTATCTTTCTGATTGGTCATGAAGAGAGTTGCCCCGGGACATGGGCTGTGAACAGCATGGAGACACAGCACCGAGTGATTGTGTGAGAGTCTGACAGGAGAGGATCCGTTCATAAGAAACTGTTGGTTTAGTTTGCTTTGAGTTCAAAGGCAAGGCTGTGGTTTTTATCACATCCTTGACTGCTCTCAACCACACGACAGCTGCAGAGAAGAGATTTCAGCTAGTTTTACAGTCAAATCATAAAACAATGACAAATACCAAAATTGTGTTTTATGTTTTCTGTAAGAAAGTAACTCACTTTTGTCCCCTCATCTAGCCAGGGTCATGTATTCATGTGACGATTTCTTATTTTGAAAAACACCTTTACTTCCTGTATTTTACTACTACTCTAATTACTACAGCCGCTTTAAGGTTCCTTGAAAAATTATTTTATTTGAAACTGTAACTTCTAATTGTCTTAATTGTGTTATCTTGCAGTTTGTAAACACGTTTTGTTGCCTGACTTCATTGCCTCATAGACCAATCGATTTACTATGTTCCAAACTAAATTAAGAAACACACTTCTTCAATATTATGTCATTTGTATATTTCACTAATCATAATACATAAAAAAACCCACCAAATTAACCCATTAGTTCTGGCATCTCAGCTGTAAAACTGCAGTTACTAATTTATCCCCTAGGGCGTGCTGTGTTTCAGAGAGGGGGGCTTTACTCACTGCAAAGATATTTCATGTACAAGTGATAGATAACATCGGAGGCAATTGTTTAAAAAAAACAAAAAATACTCTAAATGTGTCTTTTATGCGCAGCAATGTAATGTCTTCAAACTTGAGTATGTTAATAGATTGAACACAAATATGAACAGACCGAAAAATGTACGAAATTAGTCCCAACTACTATGAGACAGCATCGGCTGAAGACAGAGGTTTACGGTGTTGTGTTTTCTCGATCACGACGTGACATCTTTGCGCTGTGCAAAAGATAAACACTTGTTTGCTAGCCAAAAAAAAAAAAAAAAACCGAAACCAAAGGGTTTGTTTTGGGGGGCTGTACTGGGAACACAAACCTCCTGTCACCACGCTAATTCTTCAGCTAGTTCTTTTTTTTTTTTTTTTTTGTAAAGGGGGCAGGCGTCGTTAAGCAGAGGTACTTTAATGTTTGTGGTTTTTCCTGTCATCTAGGATATTAGTTACATAATGTGGTGGCATCGGTAAGCTGTTAGCTGAAGTCTGTTTACATTTACAAGGTTTGCTCTCCTGTTACAGATTCTTCCTGTGGAGTAGATAATATTAGAAAACAAATGGCATTCAGTAGAGTTTACATCAGCATAGGTTACGCTACCTTTGGCACCCTGGTCGGATTTTCTGCCTTCCTGATCTGGAATATCGCTTACAAACAGCCGTGGACAGCTGCGATGGGAGGCCTGTCAGGTATGTTAACACACCTTTTTAGAAACACCTTTGTTCTTAGGTGTTGTTGTGATGTGCAGATTGTGTCACATGATACTGGATGGTTTCATTTAGAAACCTTTTCTACATGGCCTCTTGCATCATATTGTAAAAGAAGATATTTCCTGTGGCTTGTTTTCATTCTCAACTCTTTCCACTGAAATCTCTACACAATGTTTTTATTGTTTATTGTTCCGTGTCGGCTGGATTAATACTTTAATATTAGTCACATTTTTGCATATGACCAGATTATTATTTTTTTGTGTGGGGGGGTTTATCCCCTCCCACTGAATGTATTATAATGCTGCCGAGAATTAAACATTTTCAGTGACTGTGATTAATTTCTATCATGTGAACTTCCTTTTGTTTAATTAAGCTGCTGAGACATTATTTATTCTTGGGCCTGTTCTGATATTGACAATGCAGAATATTTGATTAAAAAAAAAAAAATGCAAATTATAAATCAGCAGTCAGTAAAAGATGCATTACATGACTTTAATACATTTTGTTGTCGGGGGGGAAAGATACAAACAGAGGGAGAGATTCTCAGTGCTTTCATTTTTACAAAATATTTAATGGAGACAGTTCAATGTTGTTGTTGTTGTTGTTGGACATACACAATTATACAATACACCTGAAACAAACTACAAATACAAAAACAGCTGTTAGAGGAATAATGAAATAGAAGTTAGACAGCAAGATGATCAGAATCTCTTTTTCATCTTGGCTTGAAGGAAATTGTGATAGATTGTTTCTACTTTAATGCTCCCATTATCTTGAATTAAAGTAGAGTCCAGTGTTTCCCCTACCATTATATTAGGTATTTTTATTTTATTTTTTATTTTTTGGGCTTTTGGTGTCTTTATTGTAGAGGTAGGATAGTGGACAGAGTCAGAGATCAGGGAAAGAAATCATTTAAGAATACCTTTCCGATAGAAAAGGACAGCTGTCATTAAAAGTAACACATGAACACCAAGATTCCTTCAAGTGTTTGTGTCGGCATGTCTGCTTGTCCCCCCCCTCCCCTCCCCCAACGCTGGGGGAAACACTGGAGTCAGTCGCAGCCCCACGCAGCTGAAGTTGATTTTGTAAAATATGAATAAAAAAATGGCCATTGCTATGTTTGCCAGTAAAAAGTTTGCCTGTGTGTTTGTCTTTCCACAGGAGTGTTGGCGCTCTGGGCTCTCGTCACACACATCATGTACCTGCAGGACTTCTGGCGCACCTGGCTCAAAGGCCTCAAGTTCTTCATCGCCGTTGGCGTGCTCTTCTCAGTGGTGGCAGTGGCCGCCATCATCACCTTCCTAGCTCTAGCCATCACACACGAGCAATGTAATCCTCTAACCGATGTTGCAAGTTTAAGACGAAGTATAAAAGAGAACTTGGCGTGCTTTGTAATCAGGAGAACATGCGTTCATCGTGCTTCTGTTTCTCTGCCCCACAGCTCCCACAGACCCAAAGAGCCTCTACCTGGCCTGCGTGTGGAGCTTCCTGACTCTGAAGTGGTCCTTCCTCTTGGCTCTGTACTCCCACAGATATCGTCAGGAGTTTGCAGACATCAGCATCCTCAGCGATTTTTAAGTCGGTGCTGATTTTCCACATTGAACGGACTTTGAGGGTTTTAAGCTGCCGTCTGGAGCTGCTTTGGTAACAAAGAGGAGGAAAAGCAGATACGGCTAGATTTAAAAAGTCAGCAGACTTTTACCACATGGAGTTGCACTTGTTTAACAAGCTCTGTATTTGTATTGTCACCTGTTCAACTACTTTAAATGACCCACATTGTGTTTCTGTAAGTCGTTACTGTGAGCAGTCGAAAGCCTCTGCTGCTTTTGAGGAAACGATCAAAATGATTTATGGAGACACAGAGGTGTTGTTTCAAACAGGTTTTTAGCTTGTTCTTTTTTTTTTTATTTGTAAACTAACACGTAGAAGGAAATCACTGTAACAGGCTTTTAATCTAATGATAGGTTGTCAAAGTGAACGCTGAATTCTTTAGAAACCAAAATTGAAACCTTCCTTCCTGAAGCTTCATTTAGACGATGCTAGGTAGACCAAGTTTATTGAGGTGCTTGAATGTTTTTACCCAAATGACCTTTTTCATAGTTGCAGTTTTCAATCCCAGAATAGTCTCATCTCCAGACACTCGCTGTCGTACTGTCTGTTTTAAATCAGTCTCTAAGCTCCCTTTAATGTCTTGATGCACTTTGAGAATCCTTTTTTTTTTAAAGTCATTATTTGTTATTTCACCTTTCCTACTCTCCTCATGCTTTTACTCTTAAGACAAACTGAAGAAAAAGGCTGTCCTGTAGAAGTTGTGCTGTTTCTGTTTTGTACCACTAGGGGGAGTCCTGCTTTGTTCTGTCAAGAAAGACTCCATTTAAAAGTTTGAACAGTCCTCCAACGCAAAAAGAAGAAATGGATTTGATGAATAAATGCACTTTAGTCTTGATAATGACACCCTTGTTTTGCACACAAATCCTGTTACAAAGGGGGAGGGGGTCATGTCCTTTCACTTCTTGTCATCTTTTTCTTACCCTTTTTAATAATGTAATGCACTATTCATGTGTAACATTGATTTTACTGTTAGCATTGTTTATGTGCGTCAAGATAGAGTAGGCTTAATGAGCTTGTTGTAGCTGCTGCTTATGTCGACCTTTTTACCATGAAACATGTTCAATTGATTTTTGTCCATGATGAGAGAATGAATGTTTGGATGCTACATGTATATAAAAACTGATCCCATTAAAGTTCAATTGATTGTTAAATACACCATGCTGCCTTGACTGATGGCTGAATCAACAATGGCTGAATCAACATCCTTCCTTGAAAGGAAGGATGGGTTGAAATTCTTTGATTACGCTTACTGGCTCCTCCCAGAAGGTGCAGAGGAGAATAAATATTAGGGCTTTCCCATGTAGAAAGCTTCTGATATTTGCATGAGCAGCTGCATGTGTAAACCTCAAACAGACCCGGAGTTTCTCCTGCCGTCCGACAGGGATAGTCTCCTCTCCTGTGAGGGGCATATGTGACCAGCCAGGCCAGGAGAATATCCGGAGCAGTCCACCTGCAAGTATCAAAATATATTCAGGAGTGCACATGTGACAACAGCTCAGTTTTTATAAAGGAATCAAACAATAATCTAATTCACAAGTCCGTTCTTCATCGATAAGGTCAGTGCTGTAATGAGACATCTACATTAACTAAGATCAGAGCTTCTTGATATGACATGAAAAATGAATTTAGTCTTTACAAGTTTGATTATCTTTTGTTTCCCCATATTTTGATTTTTTTTTTTTTAGGAAAATTGTGTTTACAGCTTACAAATCTGTAAAAAAAAAGACATTTTTAGATTTATTATAAAATAATGTTTTTAAAATATATATATTTTTTTTTACTGTGAATATCTGAAAATCGTTTATTCTCTTAATTAATAGTGAAGAATGATCATGCAACTCCATCTTCATATCAAGTAAATGTTGGGCTTAAACTTTCCTTCCGCATGTCGTACAAGTTCAACTTTTAGCATAAATTAAATTGTGATTTTTATTTCTTGAAATTACTTCTTTTTTTAAAAAAAAAAGATTACTTTTTGGGTGTTTATAAGCCTTTATTAGAGAGACAGGACAGTGGATAGAGTCAGAAATCAGGGTGACGTGGCAAAGGAGCCACAGGTCGGATTTGAACCTGGGCTGCTCACTGTACATGGGGCATGAAAACTAACCACTAGGCCACTGGCACCCCCAAAATTACTTCTCAAAACTGGTTTGACTGTTGATTCTATAAAGGTATATCCACATGTTTTTACTGGCAGATTTTTATATACACCAATCAGCCATCACATTGAGACCAATAGAATCCAGTACCATACAACTGTTCAACCATAAATTCTACTTTAACAAACCGTCTATGTTTTCAGTTTTTGTTGATATGGTCAGTAAGATTGATAATTATATTTTATGTTTATTATTAAAGTAGTAGTGGGTGCTGATTGTGAACTATAGTGTTTTATATTGAAAGGTGCTCCTAATATTTTGCCCACTCCTTTAACATACAACCAGGGAGCAAAATATAAAGAACACACACTGATTTTTGTTTTTTAATTTGGTGATTTTTTTATTTATTTATTTTTACCAGGATTCAAGTAGCGGCTTCAAATAAGCTCTTTGAGTTTTCTGCCTCTTCCTGCACTGAATATTGTTTATTTTGTCAACTCCATTGTTTCAACAACTGAACAACCATTTTAATCAAATCAGTTGGGAATTAGTTCAATAATTTATATTTGATTAAAGTTAATAATGTGTAAACCGGCTGCTGTAGAAGTCAAATGATATTGATGCTATCTTGACATGATTCATTTGTAATTTTATGACCATTTAAAAAGATATTTGACTCATTACAATGTGATTCTCCACTCTCGTCCTTGAGGTCATAGCACTACTCTGACTTATCTGTCTTCTTAATACGCTTCAATATGTCAGAGTCATGCCCGAGAACCGCCCACGCTACGTGATTGACAGGCCTGCTTATAACCTCCCGGACTTTGACAGAGAGTTTGACAAGAAGAGTCGACAACTCCCTGTCGGAGAGAAACTGAAGAAACCCTTCAGGTACCTAATCACAATCTCTCTGCACAGTCGGCGTGAACTACATGTCTTCCTATCACACACACACACACACACACACACTCCTCCTCCGACAAGCTTTGTGTTGTGATCAAATAGAGAAGAACCCTGTAGCTATGACTCCATATGATGCTCAGACGTGTTATTGACTAACAACTAGAAAAACCGAGCTCCTCAGGAGATTCTCCTGTTTGTGTTTGTCAGATGCTCGGTGAAGAGACTGAAGGGCTTATTATTCAGACATCTGCCTGTTCTGAGCTGGCTCCCCAAGTACAAAGTGAAAGAAAACCTGCTGCATGATGTCTTCAGCGGGGTCAGTGCCGGCACTATTCAGGTTCCCCAAGGTCAGTCCAACCTTCTCTTTTGATGCCTCTGTATTTTTCCCTCTGACTGATCTTTGTTGCCGCAGCACTGGCTCCAGTATTTGTATTTCTCTCCATGCAGCCATGATTTATGTGACATTTAAATAAAGGTGTGTCTTCTTTGCAGGCATGGCATTTGCCCTGTTGGCAAACCTCCCTCCCGTCAATGGTCTCTATTCGTCTTTCTTCCCCCTCATCCCTTATTTCTTCATGGGCACCACTCCCCAGATAGTGCTGGGTAAATCAGAGCAATTTATCAGCTGAGATTTCATATGATGACAGTGATAAGTTGCCAGAGCTGCACAGCACAGATCAGCTGCCTGACTCTGCCCAGTTAGTCGTAAAGAAAATAGATGTGACACACTATTTTTCTGTGTAGGTACGTTTGCCGTCCTCAGCTTTATGGTGGGAACGGCATGTCTGCGTCTGGCCCCAGAGTCCGACTTCAGTCATTTTAATGCCACTCTAAATGCTACAATAGTGGACACAGACAGGATGGACGAGGTTCGACTGGGAATATCTGGAACTCTGGCCTGTCTCACTGGAATCATACAGGTACGCATAGCTCTAAAATGTAGGTCTCAACTTGAAATAATGCAATAACAAAAAAAAGAGACACATTGAGAACTTCTTCTGTCTGTTTAGATTAGCCTTAGCTTCATGCAGATTGGCTTTGTGGCCATCTATCTGTCAGATTCGTTCATCAGAGGCTTCTTGACGGCTGCATCGCTGCATTTTCTCACCTCAATGCTCAAATTCATCTTTGGCGTCAAGGTTTCACCTCATAGTGGTCCACTGGCCATTATATATGTAAGTGACTCTTTCATACTGCGATCAAAGTACAGCAAAAGTGTTCGCTCCATTACTTTTCTAATGACATGCATCTTTGAAATTCATTTTTGTCACAGAGGCTCATAGATATCGTTCGCAGTCTTCCCGATACCAACGTAGCATCTCTAGTATTCGCTCTGGTCAGCATTGTAGTCCTGATTGTGGTGAAGGAGCTAAATGCCCGCTACCACCACAAGTTGCCCTTTCTTATACCTGTGGAGTTCATCGTTGTAAGTAATTCATAGTTTTGTATTTGTATTTGTATTTTTTGTGATGTTTTTGTAGCAGTTGTTCAGATTTCTTTTGTAGATTGGTGATGACACTATTCTGGCTACAGCAGTGGTTTATGTCTTTTTTCTTCCTGTTGGACACAGGTGGTGGTGGCAACAGCCATTTCAGGCCCTTTGCATCTTCCTGAGACCTACAACATGGATATAGTGGGACTAATTCCTTTGGGGTAAAGCATTCATCATAATCATGTGGTGGCCATTTTCCTATATGGTTACGCTCCATTTCGGGAGTTACTATAGAGTTAGCTTTAATTCGAATAATGAGGTTTTGCTGTGGTCCAGGTTAGCACAACTTGAGAATTCTTCAGGGATTACAAAATAAATTGGGAATCTGATAATTCAGCGTCATTTCAATGCTTCCTGATTGATAAATAGCTGAGAAAATGTATGGTGAGTGGAAATATTGAAGGAAATGGAACATAGTTCAACTTGAGAAACATATTTCATAACCTGTTTACAGTAACATAAGCAAGGGCCATTGGCCCAAATCCTAGCAAATGAAATTCTCCCATGCTAGTATTTGTAGCTGGCTAACTGCTACAACATGCCCACCTGTCAGGCAAATCAACCCAGCCTCTAATTTTTACACAACAGTCTTAATATAATATAAAGTTACTTAAAAAAAAAGAGGATTTAATGGGACCTCCGTGTGAGTCAAGTGGACACTTGAGGAACTGCTCTTGTTTGCATTTCTGAATTGGCCTTTTTTTTAAAAACTAAAGATTGTTGTTGGTCGTCTCCAGGGTGTGGGAACCTAATTACCTTCAATTTTTTTGTTTTATTATCGTTTGTTGTCCCTCCAACCTTTCCATATCCATCATCTATTTTAGTTGCTGATCAGGAAGGATAAATAATTGTAATTTGCCAGAATTTTATATTTATACGATTTAAAACCCTGAAACACAAAAGTTAAAGATTAAAACATTTGATATTGCCACCCTAAGCCTGACTCAAGGTAAAATGACCACAAATACATAAGCATACTTTAAAAATTTTTTTTCCTTCTACTCAATTGAGATGTAAATTTTGAGTGTATTCACCAGATTCCCAGCACCAATCCTTCCAACCGTGAGTCAGTGGGAGGAATTGCTGAGCACAGCTTTCTCTCTGGCAATTATGGGTTACATCATCAACTTGGCTATTTCACGGATACTGGCAACCAAGCATGGCTACGACGTGGATGCTAACCAGGTAGAAAACGGCTTGTCTTTTAAATGTTCAAAACGTGCATTCTATTAAAATATTGTAAATACACCAAGTGTGTTCTTGTCCAGGAAATGTTGGCTCTTGGCTGCAGCAATTTCTTTGGCTCCTTCTTTAAAATCCAAGTGACCTGCTGTGCTCTGTGCGTGACCAAGGCTGTGAACACAGCAGGTGGAAAATCACAGGTAAGTGGTTAGCTACCTGTAATCATATTCAAATATTTTCTTTTTCTATAAAGTGCAATAACCTTAAAAATGCTTTGGACTAAAAGAAGAAAAACATCTCAAACTGTGTTGCTGCCCTCTCATAGTTCGCCTGTTTTAGTGTGATGATGGTCGTAATGGTCACACTGCTTGCATTGGGAGTCTATCTGAGACCGCTTCCGAAAGTAGGTGGAAAAAGTAGAATTATACTAGAAAAATGCAATGAAGAATTGAAGTAGAGATTAGTGAAAAATCTATGCATGCATGATTAGGGACCAATGGAATCTGTTTCCCCAGTCGGTGCTTGGAGCCTTGATTGTGGTCAACCTGAAGCCCCCACTCCTCCAGCTCTCCGATCCATACTACTTATGGAAGAAGAACAAATTGGACTGTGTAGGTCAAGCCTTGGATGCAATATTGCAGCACAATGCAATGTTGTTTCTCTACATATTTTATCTAAGCCTGTTGTTCTTTTATTTCCAGTGTGTGTGGGTTGTGACGTTCTTGTCCACATTCTTACTTGGCTTGCCTTATGGAGTTGCTGTCGGAGTGGGCTTTTCCTTCCTGGTGGTGATATTCAGGACACAACTGTGAGTAAACCGTATTGTCAAAGAAAACGAGACAGAGTGTAAATATAAAGTGGTTTGTCACTGAGTTTGGTAATGCTTTCCTCACAGTCGTAATGGTTCAGCATTGGTTCAAATTGAGGCTACAGATATCTACAAAAACCCAAAGGTGTACAGCAAGGTATGAAACTAATCCCCTTGATTTTTTGTTTCACATAACACAAGAGGTATTGCGTCTCATTTTTTCATTCTGTGTCCACAGGGCATGTCCGTAAAGGGTGTGAAAATTTTGAACTACTGCTCACCCCTTTATTTTGCAAATGCAGAAATATTTCGACAGAGGGTCATCAAAAAGGTACAGTGAGTTTCTTTCTTTCTTTCTTAATATGAGACATGTTTGAAGGTCGTAAAATAAGGCTAGTAGCTAGACGATCACTTTTTTACAATGTTATTCCAACATTGAATGAAACGTCAAATGAAACAATTGACAGCACACAGTACAAAGAGCCTTTTTAACATATTCCCTGACAAAGTTTCACACTTGCCATTAAATAGGATGTTGCAGGAGACTTCATAAATTCTTGACATACATTTAAACGAAAGGTATCAGCAAAAAACATGACACAAATGCTTTGTCGTAAGGGCTGCCAAAATTGTAAGGAAATCAAAGTTAGTCGTAAATGCTTGAAGTTTTTGCCAGCTTTTTTTTTAGTGTTTATGTGTTAATGTTCATGTTTAGACTGGGCTCGACCCCGGAAAACATATCCTGGCCCGACAGAAGTTGTTGGAGAAAAAGCAGAAGGAGAAAGCGAAACAGGAGAAGAAGGACAAGGAGGCAAGAAAGAAGAATCTCAGCTCTATGGTTGACATGAAGATCCAGGTAGAATCATGTAGATATGACACTCATGCTTAACCTCATAGTCCATAAGAAGACACAAATCCCTATCACACTTCTATCATCAATATTTCCAGTGAACACTGTACAATTATGACATACAACTTCTGTACACATGTTTTTATCTACATCCTCCAAATGTAGACCATATCTCAGCTTGAACTGCAAAAGGACTTTGGCTTGAAAGACGACAGACTTCCCATCAGCTTTGTCAACCCTGGATTTAGTGACATTGAGCTGGCTCAGGAGATGCCTGAGCCTGAGTTGCCCTTCCACACCCTCATACTCGACCTGGCAGGAGTCTGCTTTATCGACCTGATGGGCATCAAAGTCTTGATTAAGGTTAAAAGCTTATTCACAGTACTTCTTCCTCATCTCTTCATTCAGCACTTTAAGGTTTGAAGTTTCCATTTAATAAAATAAGAGAAATAGTTATTGTAATCATATTAATACTCATCAATCAATTACTTTGGGTGAGCGAACATTACACAGGTAGCTAGCAAAATGCTTTTTAAGCCTCACAGCATGCAGTGTGATTGGCCTATTGTCGTAATGGTGGTTAGTTTATTAGACCAGCTTCTATCTTAAATTAAAACTTTTTAAAATCCCTGGAGCAGTTCTACATCACTACACTTAGCTTATTCTCATTTGTGAATACCCACTCTGTTCAAATATTCCTTCACTTCGCTTGAATATTCTGTTGGCCAGTTAATGCTAGCTGGAAGGAACAAGGTCACGATTTGTTTCAGCTGACGTTAAATGATAAGCGAACTTATACTAGCATTAATAAAGCTTCATAAGACATTTCAATATCTGGATCATAAAGAAACAGACAGAGACAGTTTGAGACAATAGTCTAAATGAAAGTAAAAGAGATCATTAGAATTTGGTTAAGTTTTGTTTGCACAATGACTCTCCCCTCCACTAGCCTCCACTACGAGTCAAACAATGCTGCATTATTTAAACAGCTTCACTTTTTGTACAGAATCTAATAGAAACCCTTATTCTAACCCTAGCCTTCATTATTGAACCATTTTTTAGGAGTGATTTTTCAGGAGTAGTCTATGGGTGTACACAACCATCTTGATTCCTCCACGTCTGCTAACTGACTCTTTTTTTTTTCCTTTTACGCCAACGCAGATGAACTCAAGCTACTCGATGCTTGGGATGAAACTATACCTGGCAAATATTCAAGGTAAAATCTTACACGACTTTTCACACTTGTTAGCTCTACAGAACAGTTGTCATGGCAACAGAGAACAAGACATTTACTCACATTAAGTCCATAAGCTATGTAAAGGACACTGCTATATACTGCGAGGAAAAAAAGAGAGTACAATTGCATTGGGAAATATTTTCAACAATTAGTGTGCACATTGCTTTTATTTCCCAGTGATGTAAGGGATTTCTTTTTTTTTTGGGGGGGGGGGGATTGATTACTCTTCAGCGTGAAACCAGTCGTCTTCTCTTGCAAAGCACAGAACTCTAACCATTCAGTTCTCTTTACACACCAAATGAGAGTCAAGTTATAATCCCTTGTTTCACTCCCTGTGTGATATTTGTTGTCTTTGCCGCCTGCAGCCCAGGTGTATGAGGAACTGAAGGCTGGAGGAGCTTTTGATGACGGAAACATTGCAGGCAGTAATCTCTTTCTTTCTGTCCATGATGCCATTCTGTTTGCACTAGAAACTTCTGAAGGGCAGCGAGACTCCTCAGAGGTAGATCCAGCTCCTTTTCACGACATCACATACACACACAGACCGCTGAAAGGTTTCTATGTCAGGGATAAAGGAATGGATTTTAAAGATTACAAAAGCAAGATAGTTTTCTTACTTCTACATTCCTCACTTGGCAAAGCTTTTATTGTCTTATCTGGTTCAACAAGGGTAACCAGAAAGGTCACAAGGGATTACAGGTGATGTCACACATAAAATGCTTCAACAAATAAAGCTAAATCAAAGTCATGCTGCATAATACATAATACACAATACATTCTCCTTATGATTCTGCTCTACTTTCTATTCATTAAGGCTATGGTTATCAACAGGTGGGTCAGGCCCAAAATTGGGTCACATTGTGGCTTTACTGGGTCGAGGATGTGTGTCAGGGAAGAAAATAGTTAAGGCAAAAAGTCTATTCTGCGTTTTTATTTTTTATATATTTATATACAGTATGGTGTATTTAATGTGTAGAAGGGTCAGTAGAGGACAGTAGGTCGATGTTATGCACTTTAAGGCCGGCCATCTGCAATTAAACGACAAGAGAAGAAGAATGTGACTTTCAGACCTTCTTCAATGCAACATGATGCCCATTTATTTTGAATGTAGTCATATTTCAAGTAAAGCAGACACATCAGCAGGTTATTCTTTAGGGAGTGATTAACCCGTCATTGAAAAGTCACTCCCAGGGCAACTTGTCAGTCATTATTAAAGAGAGTTTAGAATCATCCAAATGTGGTCACTAAAATGGTAATGGCAAAAACACAAAACATGACCTTCAAAATAGGTTACCAAAAACCATTATATGGTGACCGTTTATGGTTTGTGTTCTTGTCTGTTTGACTTTAAATAAACTGTATGAATTCATTTTATTGTCGACAGACAGAGAAAGAAACAAATGAGCTGTCTCTCTATATGAATGAGGAGCTGGATCTAGAACAGGTATGTACTGGTTTGAACAAAAAAAACTATTTTACCTACCTCTTTTTTCTCACCACAGAGCCAATAGCAATGATTATGGATTTTTTTTTGTCTTTTACAGGAAATGTTTTGAATACTTCAATGAAGATGCAATAAAGGAAACATAGCATCTATTTTGGTTGGTTGGGAATTAAGAAGAAATAAGTATCACCTGACTTTACAGGCAGGAGTGTTACAAAAATAATAAGAAAAGTAGACAATAAGAGGAACTTCTGGGGCTCAGTTGTCCACCCCGCATGGAGTCAACCTGCTGACGGCGCAGTCATACAGAAGAAGGGCTCTTGTAATTACCGGAGAGTGTGCATGGCCACAGCTGTGAGGTAAAGCCAGCTGAGCAGACTTGTTTAGTCCCACAAGACCCTAAGAAAAGCAGGACACCATCAGCAGTTCATTGTGTTTGTCTTATAAACTCTGTCAGGTATTATCTGTCACAAGGAAGAAAAATGCAAACAAATAAAACAATGTAAGTGTTGTCAGCTCCACCAGAAGAGTTGTTTGGCTTAAGACAAGTATGTAAGCCAAACAACTTGTGTTTGTTTAGCAGGTGCCAAAGGCCTGTGGAGTCTGGCGTTACGTTGCAGTCAGTGTGTTGGTATGCATGTGATGCATGAATGGATTCATTCAGCTATTAAGAAATCATCCTAAGGTATTCTGGCACACATCTGCTCCTCTGCTCTCCCTTCTTCCTCTTCGCAGCAAATTGGCACCACCAGTGATTACAAGGTTTCTATGGCCATCAGGTTTAATTTGGAGCCCAGGGAAAGTCTCTCATCACTTAATGTGTACGGGTCTGCTTAATTTCATCACCTGCAGCTCACCCCTTTGTTTCTTTTCCCCTCCATTGTTTATCAGAGTGTTTTGTAAAAGCCCCTTGCTTTGCTTGAGCTGGATTCAATTAGTTTGAAAGCTGTAGGTTGAAATCGTCACATGGTTAAAAGCCCTGCCAATCTTGTCGTACCTCTCTTGTCTTTAAAAGTTTAAATAAAAAATGTACTTTCAAACATTTGAAAAGTAGGTTAACATTGGTATTGATGGATTTAAGAGACATTGAATGTGGCCAGCAGAGGTCCCGAATCCTTTTTTTCCTTTTTTTCTTCAACTGTTTTACATGATGTTGGCACAGTGATGTTGGCACTGTTGTTTTTGTGCTACCTGAGGAAGTTAACACGTTTTTTTGTGTTTTCTTTTTGAAGATGGTTGTTCTTACTGTTTGCAAAAAAAATAAAATAAATACATTTAAAAAAAATAAATAATAATCTCTACAGCTATATTCTTTTATCTTTTAATCTCTCCATTACCCACGTGGCCTCTGCCCACGGACAACAGACTAAAATGAGCTTGAAGCTATTTAAAAAAAAAATATTTTTCATTCTCAATAATATATAAGTTATTAATAAAATAAACTATATGGAAAGAGGCCTCAGCTGTCTTTTTTTCTTGTTATGAGTATGCTGTCCAAATTAAATGCTACACACTCATTTTCATCATCTTATAAATATACAGAGTGCTTACATTAGAAAAGCATCCTGACATGGTTTATAAAGGCAATGCTGTAAGCCACATTCAGGAAGCATGGAAGTTATCAATACGTTGTTTTACCTTGAATATTTCCAAATATTACTTTGTCATTTAAAGAGTTGTTGTCTTGTCAGCTGCATATTCATTCAGAAATGTTGAGAACAGTGATTTACAGATCACCTTCACAGATGTGCAGATCTGGGATACAGCAGTAGCTACAACCAGAGCCTTGTCTTTAGAGGGCACTGGCTGCAACAACATACAAAGAGGGTGACGTCAGAGGAAGATGACCCTTGAGGGTATGACCCCTATGACCCCTATGATGAGGTAGCAAACTCCTCTTCAGTTCGAAAACGGTAAAGGCTACGTTTACGTATTAAGTCCCCCCCCCCCCCACAACTATTTCCTTATCTACACCTCTTTATTTAAAGAAAAGAGCACATTGCAAAGTCAAAGATAATGCATTTCCTTTTATCCCTGATATAACGCACCGCCCGTCGTGCTCTGTAAGTGACCCTAATCAAACACACCCCACATGATGCGCGACCAGCAGGTGCACGAAAGGTCTAGTTAGGAAACTAAATGCTAAAGAAAATGTCTTCAGCACCATGGTAAGTTCAAAATGATAATTGTGACTCATATTACTGTCGTTACTTTACTTGAGTTTATTTGTTGTTAGGCTGTTTTTTTATTTGTTTTGGTTTGATATTGCCTTCTGCACCCGCCGCGGTGTGAGACTTCCTGTTGGTCAGCCTGAGTTTGGTCATGTCTGCTGGTTATTCATGTGGGAGTTTCACTTTATCAACTTGTAATGTGGTTGTATTGGCTTATAAAGTGTTTTCGCAGCTTCTGTTTTCAGACTAGAAATGGTATTTCTTTTTGTGTCGGACATTTAGGTCCACATCATCTCCTGTTGCTGATGTTAAACGGACTGTTTGAGCATTTAATAAGCAATGTGCAAGATATCACTTCCTCTCCTTAAACACTTCCCCTCTTATACAGGACCAGAACATTTTAAAGACCTATGATGCTCCAACCTGATCTAGCCTTCTTTACATCATGACCCATCATTTACTCTGGCTCATCCACTGTACTTTCCAGGAAGTACAAACTATTTAGAAATGTTGTTTTACTTGACAGCAGTAAATATTTATTGAAACCATATGTCTTGGAAGTAGGTCACATCTCACATCATTTATTATTTTAGGGATTATGGTCACATGGAGTTTTGTGGATCTTGCTCAGGGGCAGATTCCTTCAACACCTTTCCACGTAATCCTTTGTTATTGCTCAGTCTTACCTCATCACATTTCAAGGTGCGGCGCAGTGCTGCTTTTGTAATCGATGTCCTATTTTAATTTTGCCTTTTTAATTTGACCTTCTTGATATTGTTACAGATAATTAACGCTCATAAAATATAAAGCTTTAAGTCTGGAAAAAAAAAACCCCTCTATTCTTTCTGAAGGTCAAATGATGATTACACTGAACTATCAATTGCTTCAAATTAATCCTTTTTCTATTAAGATACTGTTTGAATGGACTACCTTCTCAATCCCTGTAATTGCAAGTTCACACAGAAATTAATTTAACACCTCTTGCACATTCATTGACCATGCTGGTTTAATTAACAAGGTCCCTTTTTAGGAGTTTGAGATAGGAAAGATTTATGTATTAAATTTGTTTACACGCCCGGTGGTTTCACTCTTATTGAGACAAATTGCGTGGCGTCGGAGGGTGTCTTTCTCCCTGAGTCATGGGACCTTGTCATTTAACACTCGCCTGCTTTTATGAGGCGCTGTCCCTGAGAGAATATTCAGCTGTAACCTTTATGAACCCAGATGTAAACTTGGGCTGTTCAAATGATAATGAAGCAGGGAGGTAATGAAAGTCTTTTTGCGCCAATGGGCTGTGGGCTCACAGGAGCAATCTAAGGGAATGAGGTTGACAGAGGAACCAAAAAAAAAACCACCCCTGGAAATTTAAATAGCGGCTGTTTGACATTGATCAACCGATAACAGTTGGCGTTTAGCATATGAATTTTATAGCCCTACATGCGGGGATCTATTGTGCTTCATTAACAAACCACTTTGCATCCTGGGAACCATAAATCTTGATTGTGCCGTGTCAGCAAATTGTCTTTGGACAGGGTTTGTTTACAAAGTAGCTGAGGGCAAATCTGACCACCGATAGCTGGTATTAATTAATGTTTCATATTGTCTCATTCCAGTAGTCCACCAGCAATTAAATGCACCAACAATGGAACAGTCTCTGGTAATTAATTATGGCATACTATTATTGAGTCTGCGTGTCTGACTGGAGGTTGGTTCATTATTTATAGTTAAATTAAGTCACAACCCCGTGTCTGATGGAAAATACTGCTCACCCTGCTTACCGTTTTTGTGAGTTCTCTTATAGACGTAATAAGTGCTTTCGTTTCACGGTGCCATTGTTTCATTCAAATTAATCAGTTTGTTAATTTCATCAGAAGATTTTGACCTTTGTGGGATGATAAGAACTATGAGCAGACTTAGAATTCGAAGAGATTTCTTTATTTTCTGGCCTTGGCACTGCGGTCACAAACATTACATGTCTGTAAGTATGTCCATCTAATCTAGTGAATCTCTCAATGAATACCTCAAGGAGTTTTCTGTTTTAAATTAAGCACAACTTCCACGTCAACTCGTACATGAGATGATAGTTTTTGTTGGTCAAAGGCTAAGGGGCGATCCGGTCTCTGAAACACACTTTATTATTCACATTTTTCACATTGTCAGTCAGTGAAACCTTTAGAGTAGCTTTGCATGATTTGCAGATAAAAAGCTCCTTATTTATCTTAAACTGGCATCAGTAAAAGTCCTAGTTCCACCCTCGACCTGAGACGGTTTGTTTTGAGTTTCTCTCAGGGCGCACTCACACTAGGCAATCTCTAAGGTCGTTCACCCTCAAAGTCCAGCTCGTTGGATTAGTGTGAGGGCTCTGATCCGGGCTCAAACCCGGTATACTTCCTTGGCCCTGGCACGCTTGGAAGAGGTTTGCTTCTGCTCTGTTCCGGCTGTATCATGGGGAGACAATCATGCTTAAGCACTACAAGAGCAGCTGGACATTGTGTGAGTGCGCCCTTAAAGGCTTCTCCTCCCCATGCGCCCACTTTCTTCTGAAACATGACTGTGGGTTTTAAATTGAGGATCAGCATTATAGGTCCACCTTAAATGTCCTAAACGTTCTCAGAGGATACATTTTATTTATTAATTAAAAAATTGGAAACTGCAACTTCATGGCTCTGCAAAGGCATGTAAGAGCAAGATGTCAATTCTACTAATGTTTTGGAATATATTTGTGTGAATGGAAGGAAGGATTTTATTCTGGTTTCATAGACCTGATGGTAAACTAAAGCTTGCAAAGAAAGACACCACTTAGAAAAGATGACACATTCGACCTTCCTTCTGAATATACATGTCATAAAACAAAGATTGATTTGCAGATTTTGTTTTTGGACAGAAATGCAAATGAGCGCCATCAGCGTTTTTCTTTCTTTCATCCCTCCCATCAACTCATTAAACAGAACGGCAGGTACTGTTTGCTCTCCTGTCATCTTATTAGATGAAAACGGCAGCGTGATGACTGCAGATAGCAGCTCCACACTGAGCCGTTCAGTACCAGCGGGGAAATTAGACAAGACAATGCAAAACAACGCAGTGTGGTGCAACGCTGAGGGAACTCATTAGAACAGTACAGCATGGGAGGAAGCCACATGACGCTCTGCAACATGTCATCAGGGGTGTTGTGAGTGTTATTACACAATCATAATTTGCTGATAGCTGGTGCACAATTACTTCATTAATTTTGAGAAGCTTGCATAATAAAACTAGAGGCTGAAAAAGACACAAATGAGAAAAATGTTGAATACAGTAAGTGAGTCAGAGCTCATGATTTCAGTTGAATGGTTGAGTTGTATATTTGTGTATCCAATTATCATCTCAGGAGGGGATTGTGATTTCACGTTGGTTAAATTCTACTTCAGTGCACCCTTCTGCCTCATTAGTTTCACAGAAAGTCTTATTTGGGGGAATAAACCTCTGAATATACAAGTTACTGGACAGAAGGTAGAATCTGGGTGACCTTACTGCTCTTTTGCAGCCATGGACCACTAGGTGGCACTGTTGCAAAAAAACAGAGTCCAAGAAATGCAGTCTTATAACTACAACCCACCTTTTCTGTCATTTGTTTTTGTCACTTTTTGTTCACATCTAAAACCAACAGATGAACATGTAGACAAACAA